GTAAGCACGCAGTTCATTTATGCAGAGGACGGGGAGAGACGGGAAAGGTTGGCGCTGAGCTGGGCACGGGGCACGCGACCTTCACCTTGCAACCAGTGCCAGGCTCAGGTGGCTGTCATGGCCAGTGGCAATTGACATCAGTGCCGTTGGCCAGGTCGGGAGGGCTCCTGAGGCCGGGCCCAGGGCAAGGCCAGTGTTGAGGCATATCAGGGGCGAAATGCCATGGGAAAGAGGGCGCCAGCCTTGGAGTGGCGGGCCTGCCCATGTGTCTGAGAATTGTGGAAGCTTGTGGCAAATTTTATCCAGTTCTCATTGACTTGGTGCTTTCTAGATTCATTTGCATTATTGGGGTCTGTGGTATTTGTTACCGAGTGGGATGCACCGTCCTGAGGTGAAATCCGAAAACTAGGGTATCATGCGAACACAGTAATCCAAACCTTACCTACCTTCTGTTTATTCCCCAGACGGAGGGTAAGCCCCCTCTGTATGCCCCTTTATTAGCACTTTGTACCCACTTACGAAAAATGTGATGTTAAGAACTCTGGCTGTGTGAGGGTGTTGTGGGCCATGGAGATATGCAGCGGATATTTTTCAGCAATTTGCAGTAAATTTGAGGCCACAGCAACTACAGCTGTGTTGTTCATGACTATTTCTTTTGCTCTATAAGATGGTAGTGCTATTTCTCTCTATCTCTGTGCATTGCTCTTGGTATCACTAAGCTGGTCTGTGATGAAGATGGCCTACCCATCAGACTTACTCATTTGCTGCATCTGCAATTTGTGCTCTGACGAAGGCCAGTAAATTTTCTCCATGTCTATTTTGCTAAGATATAGTGTGGACTACTTCCTTATCTAATAGAATGGAGGTTTTCAAGGTCTTTCTTGCCAGAATACATGTGATACAGAGGTTTATTGGCCTTTGTCAGGTTGCCATTAGGCATGGAGGCCACATGGCAGGAAGTGTAGACCGACTGGTACATATCAAAATAGATGGGGTTCCCCTTATGAATTACCTTTTATGCACCAGAGGGCACACTCCTCTTGCCTCAGCCCTTGTATAAAGTTGAACACAAGTAACACTTAGCTTAGGTCAATCTTGAATTATATTTAAAAATTTTGTTGAGTATATAAACACTATTATGAAAGATTGGTCAACCTTTATGGTATGGATGCACTAAGCTAGGGCAAATTGATGATGATATTCTTGTAGAGGACAAAAAGTTGACATTGTTGATACAGGAACTTAGAGTCTTGAATAAATGTTCTCACATAGAGAGAGAGAGAGAGAGAGAGAGAGAGAGAGAGAGAGAGAGAGAGAGAGAGAGAGAGAGAGAGAGAGAGAGAGAGAGAGAGAGAGACGCACGCACACGCATACGCACACATATACATATACATATACATATACATATACATACATATACACATACATATACACACATACATATACACACATACATATACACACATACATATACACACATACATATTCACACATACATATACACACATACATATACACACATACATATACACACATACATATTCACACATACATATACACGCACGCACACGCACACACGCACACGCACACACATATACATATACATATACATATACATATACATATACATATACATACATATACACACATACATACATATACACACATACATATACACGCACGCACACACACACACGCACACACGCACACACACACAATAATATATATAATATATATATATAAAATTATATATATATATAGATATATATATGGATATATATATGTATTATATATTATTTATATATATTAACCCAATGCCGCCGGGTATGACGTGTACGTACGTGCTATGCCCACCGTGAGTACTTGTTTTATTGTTTTTACGCATAGATGGCAACACTTGTACTAAATCACCAATGAGCCAACTAGGAGTACCGCCCGTCTCGCCCATTTACCCGTTTCTTTGATTTATGAAATATTTTATGTTATCTTATTTTGCTGCTACTAATGTTAAAAAACATTATTAAAATTATAACGTTTATGATAAAAATAACACCATCGATTTTCATAGCACTAGTGAAAAATGCGTTTTTCTTGCCATTTCAAATCAGGCGCTAGCAGAGCCATCTATTGGCAGACATTTCACGAAAAACATAGAAAGTGGGCACAGCATTTTCCCCATTTTTTGTTCATTTTCCCCAGCAGCATTGGGTTAAAATATATAATGTATAATATATATATATAGTATAATATAGTATATGATATATATATATGTATGGGTAATTCCATACCAAACCAACCAACCTATATGTCCTGAATATCCCTAATTTTGATAAAGCTTCTCACATACACTTCACATGGTAAGAAAAGACAATGCATCAAATTTCAGTTTAATATCTGCAATGGGGGCCGAAAAATCAGTATCTAAAGATTTTCCCCGTATCACCCCGACCATAACCCCCAAAACAGTAAAACACTAATAACTTTTGTTCTGGTTGTTCTATTGGGTCCAGTGATAGCTCATTTTAAAGCTCTTTTCAAGCTCTGTTCAAATATGACAAGTTCTCAAACATATCCAACATGACAAAAATACCAGTCTTCAAAAACAATCTTTATTTTCATTGGCTTCTTGTGAATTAGTACCTCTCCCCCCTGAGGCAAATTTTATATCAAAAGCTTCCTTTATGTATAGATAACCATGATACAAATCTATAGAGTGGGCCCTCTATGGATGAGTGAGTTATGGGCTTTGAAAAAACTGTAACTCCACAAAATGCCGACGCTAAAGGAAAATAATAGAAACTTCTTTAACGTCTCTTAAAAAAACGTACATTGAAGGCTATAGATGTAAAAAAGAGTTTTTAAATGAGTCAGCATTCAAAGCTACAACAGTTTAAAAGTCAATGTTTGGAAACGAGAAAGAAGTTGCTGGTCCTGATGGATGCAGAAATGTTTCTTTTATTTCTCTTGTTGCTTGAAATTGCTCAAGAACATATGCAAGCCACCATTTGCCATCATACTGACATGTAACATATCCATTTACCTTTTCCCATTCTAGTAATTCTTTCAAAGATTCAAGTACATATAAATCGGACTCATCTGTCGGGTCACAACTTTCATTCAGCTTTAGACAAATTTCACATTTTTTTTGCAGAGTTCTCCCTCATTGAATACAACTTGGCAAATCTCAACTAACCTCCTAACCAAAGAGTTCACTTAAATGTCCTTTCCATATTTCATTCATTCGTCAATTGCTTCTTTTAGAGCAATTAAGTAGTCATTGAATACAACATGGGTTCCTTTAACACCTCTTTTCACTCTTTACTTCCTTGGATCTTATTTTTAAACTTAAGGATAATCATGTTATGTTCCTGAGAATGCCAAACAGGAAACACTTCAAAGTATACAATATCAACATTCGAAGTAAATATAGGGCAATCAGATTTCGACCCTGTTCACACTAGTGCATTTTTTAATAAAAGTGGATGTGTTTAGCTCCCTCTTTAGTTTTGCGTTCACATTACACTACTTCCAAAACGGAGCCAAATGAGAATGATGATAAAAACGGAGCTGAATGAAAACGAAGCCAAACAAAAACGTATCTTTGTAGTGTGAAAACGGCGGAATTTCAAAACGCTAAAAACATTCAAATAGAGACAGTCAGATCCATTTTTGAGAACAAGTGTGAACATCAAATGCGAGATATCCGTTTTTTATTGAAAATGGCTTAGTTTGAACAGGGAGGAAAAACAGCTCCATTAATGAGAACAAAAACAGATCAAAATGAAAATGGAGTGATATGAACGTGGCCTTCTATTTGACTTGCTTTATATTTTGCATTTAACCCATTGGCCACGGATTTATGTTCTGTCCCCTGTTGGTTTTGGTGAATTTTGCTACCTACAGATGGCTCCACATGTACTCAGCCAGCAAGGAGTCTATCAGTAGGCCCTAGTTACCGACCCTGATTTTCCCATTCATTGAATTGGCGGGAAAATTAATATCATTGCTTTCGATGCTGTTATTATTGTTACTGATGTTATGATGATTGAATTGTCATTAGAATATTTTTGACAATAAGATGATACAAAAAACCCTTTCCGAAAGTGAAGGAAAAGGCTAAACAGGTGAAATAGGTAGTTCTTGATAACTGGCTATTTGGTGATTAAGAACTTGTGGAGCCATCTAGGTGTAAATACAATAAATAAACGTGTATCAAAGTGGGTATGGCATCTATTCTTGCCATCCGCGGCGAATGGGTTAAACAAAGTGCTAAAAATAACAATCATCTTTTCAAACAGAGTTCAACCAGGACCTTTGGTCAATGAAACAAAAAAGGCAAGTGTTAAACAATGATACATGAACTTAAAAGCCAAAAGCCAATGAAAACTATAAATTTGAGGAACTTTGAAAATGACTTTAAAATCACTACAGGACAAGCAATAAGAAAATTGTAAAGATTTCTGAAAGAATCTTTGTCTAGTTCACATATTAATATTATTATTTAAAAACTCTTTTTTTTTACATCTTTTAGCCTTCAATATACATTTTTGTAAAGAGACATTAGAGATATTTCTAATATTTTCCTTTATTGTTGACATTTTGTGGAGTTACGTTTTTTCCAAAGCCCATAACTCAGTCATCCATAGAGGGCCCACTCTATAGATTTGTGTCATGGTTATCTATACATAAAGGAAGCTTTTGATATAAAATTTGCCTCAGGGGGGAGAGGTACTAATTCACAGGAAGCCAATGAAAATGAAGATGGTTTCTCAAGATTGGTATTTTTGTCATGTTGGATATGTTTGAGAACTTGTCATATTTGAACAGAGCTTGAAAAGAGCTTTAAAATGAGCTATCACTGGACTCAATGGAACAACTAGAGCAATAGTTATTAATGTTTTACTGTTTTGGGGGTTGCTGTCCGGGCGGAACGGGGAAAATCTTTAGTAACTAATTTCTCAGCCCCCATTGCAGATATTAAACTGAAATTTGGTGCATAG